ACTCATGGAGACCTTTCATTTGAGTACCCACATCATTTTTTCATATATATATATGTATATATGAAAAAATGATGTGGGTACTCAAATGAAAGGTCTTGATGAGTGTAACATCGGGATGAGCTTATATCTTTAAAAATGTCAGAAGTTCACAAGATACAAGGTCATTTCTTAATTATGTATGAAAAATTTAATATATCAAATGAAGAAAATTATCATTAATTTCGCCATCTAATTATATAACATAATAACTAGCAGATTCTATGAAAATAAATCAAACTAATGCATTGAATAAAAATTTGTCTGTCATACTTAGTAAAAAAAAAAAAAAAATGAAGTGAAATAAAAAGATAATTACTTGCTCAGGTACAAAATCAGCAGCAGCACCAACGTGAATAGCATCGTAGGGGCTATCAGTTGGATATCCTTCCCTTCCATCCGCCTCTAAGTTTCATTTACAATGACCTGTCATTAATATTGAACAGAAATTCGAAACTCGGAAAAATCACACAATTTTAAAAATAATTTAAACTAAAAAAAAAAATAAAAAAATTTACCAAGGAATTTAATGCGTCCTTCTTCGATAAAATTCGGACAATCCTTCTGTATGTTTCTGATTGATATTTCAATCAGCTCGGGAATATGTTCGATGCCAATAACGCGGCCCTGTGGGCCGACCATGTTTGCCATACAGGCTGTCAGGTAGCCAGAACCAGATCCAACGTCCAACGCACGTGCTCCCGTTTTCAGTTGATCGCTCAGGAAGGACAGAGCGTATGCATGCTGAAATAATTAATAAGATTTGAAAATATGTTTTAATGAATGGTTTTATATCTTGGAAATTTTCCGATTAATGATAAAATAATTTTTTTGTTCAAACAATAGCGACATGGTAAGATAATACAGTGACCCTGATACCCCTAATTTATTTATGTTTGCTAACAAACGTAGTATCAATTTTTATCAGCGCACTGCTCATTGATTTTGTGATAGTTTACTTGTTTGAAAATGATAAGGATAAAATATTTTATTGATTAAAAGATTTAAAATTTTTATTTATTAATTAATTATTTTTAAGTGTGTGACTTTTTAAATTATTTAATTAAATTTTTTAATACAAGCCATGCTATTAAAAAAAAAAAAAAAAAACAAAAAAAATAATAATAATAATAATAATAATAATAATAATAATAATAATAATAATAATA